TGGGCTTGTTTAGTTTATAATAGGAGACTATCGTATATTGCTGGAGATGGGCACGTATTGTTTGGAGGGATTTGACTGGGTTGGTAATCATCAATATGATGTCATCTGCGAATAGGCTAATTTTGTGCTCAGTGTTAAGGTGTCGTATGCCAGGGAACATTGGATTGTCTCGAAGTTTAGATGCTAGGGGCTCAATGAGTAGTGTGAATATGACAGGAGATAGACAGCCTTGTCTGGTGCCATTGGTAATATCAAAAGGGATCTGATAGTGTTCCGTCTGTTAATACTCTGGCTGAGGGAAGGGAGTATAGTGCCAAAATGGCTGTTAGCATCCAACCTGTGATGCCAAATTTTTGTAAGGTCATTTGCAAAAATAGCCAGTGTATGCGGTTGAATGCTTTTTCAGCGTCTAACGATAAAAGCAATGAGGGTTGTTTGGTGTGTTCTAAGTGATGGATGAGGGATATGAGTCTTCTAGTAGCGTCAGCTGCCTGGCGGCCTGGTATGAATCCCACCTGGTCTGGGTGTATCAAAGTGGGAAGATAGGGGAGTAGTCTGCGTGCTATAATTTTTGCATAGAGCTTGACGTCTGTGTTAAGCAGGGAAATTGGTCTATAATTTTGGACATGTTGCGGATCTTTGCCAGGTTTTGGTATTGTGGTTATTGTTGATTGTAGCATGTCTTTGGGGAATGTGCCATTAGTGGCTGCGTGGTTAAAGAATCTGGTCAGATACATTGAAAAGTTAGGGGCAAATTGTTTGTAGTACTCGTTTATATAGCCATCGTTTCCTGGAGACTTATTAAAAGGAAGTGTTTTAATGGTGGATTCTATTTCAGTGGAAGTGATCGGCATTGATATGTCTTCACGTTGGGTTGAAGAAAGTTGAGGGAGTTTAATTGTGTGGAGGAACTGTTGTATGGACGTAGGTGTTGGTTGGATGATGTTAGGGTCCTCTTTAAGGTTATATAGTTGTTTGTAGTAGGTCGCGAAGGCATTAGCTATATCTTGCGGGTTTGTGGTGATGGATGATAAACTGTGGATATTTTATTTCTTAGTCGTCGTTGTTTAATCATTTTGATTAGCAAGGAGTTGGCTTTGTTGCAAAGGAAGTAAAATGTAGTTTTTGTTTTTTGAAGGTTGAGGTCATATTTGTAGAGCAGGAGGGTTCTAAGTTTGTTTCTGTCAGTGGTGAGTTGGGCGGATGTTGCGGAATTTGGGTTTTTTTTGTTTAATTCTTCTTTTGTTTTAATTGAGAGAAGTTCCTCAATTTGTCGGTTTCTCTGGAGATGCAAGAGTTTAATTATATAAGGATACCTCTCATGTATGCCTTATATGCAGACCATAGTGTGGATATCGATATTTCAGGAGAGTCATTTATGTCAAAAAACATGTTGTGAGCATCTAATATAAATTTTTTTGTGGTCCGGATTCTTCAATAAAAGTGCATTAAGTCTCCAGATACGGGGGATTGTTGAGTGTTGATTGTGATCTAAAGAGATGGAGATTGGAGCGTGATCAGACCAGGTTATGGTACCAATTTCGGAGGATGTGGCGTGTTGCAGAGTCCACTTGTCCGTGATGAAAAAGTAAATTCTGGACTAGGAGAGTCGAGCGGAGGAATAGTAGGTGTAGTCTTTTTCCGCACTGTGATGGCATCGCCATATGTTGTAGAAGTCATTGTTATGTAGAAAGACGTTAAGAGATTGTTTGGAGGAGCGTTTGCTAGAAGCGTCTAGTAGTGGGTTGCCGATGATGTTGAACTCTCCTACTATAATTAGTCTGCCTTGTTTCTGAGCAGAAATTGTGGAATTCATTTTCTTGTAGAATTGCAATTGGTTGGTGTTCGGACCATAGATGTTGACCAGGGTGTATAGAATTCCATTAATTTTTCATATCAGGATATGGTAGCGACCTTGTGGGTCTGCAACTTCTGAAATGTAGTGGTATTGGAGAGAGTTTCTTTTGGCCGTGATGATGCCGTTTTTCTTTTTGGGGTTGGTTGCCATATAAATTGGAGAGAAATGGTGTATGTGGAAGTTGGGGATTTTGTTGGTGGAAAAGTGGGATTCTTGAAGGAATATGACATCAGCTTGCAAGGAGCGAGCCTCTTTTTGTAGTAGAGATCTTTTGAACGGTGAGTTGAGGCCACGGACATTTAAGGATGATATTTTAATCATAGTTCTGGATGTAGGCGAGTTGTCCGGAGTAGCGGAGGTATTTCATGGGTCATGCAGAGTGATGGCATATCCTTTTGTCGTTTTGGAGAAGTTTCCACAAAGAAGGGGTACCGTGCTGGATGCGCTCGCTGGTTTGATGTGGATGTTCCATCTTGTAGGTCGTTATTTAGAGTAAGGAGGGCTTGAGACGATCGACTGGTAGAGGCAGGAGGGTAAGGGGGTAAAAAAAACTTGTTGAAAATACAAGTGGTATGTGTAGCACTTATTGCTAGTGTGTGACGGGGGAATTTGAGCATACATGACTCACGTAGCAAGTCATGTTGACGAGTAACTTGATGATGGTCGTAATGGGGCCGTCTGCCAACCATTAGTGGTTGATAGAGTCCCAGCTTGTTGGGTGGTTGTTGATGGTGATGATCTCAGGATCCTGACCGCTCAGCTTCCATGCGCTGTATATGATTGGAGGCGGGTTGGTGTGAGTCTGCTGGTAGGATATTCCAAGCTTTCAGGAGATCGATGCCTGCCTCAAGGGATTTAATCGTAAAGAGCCTTCCTTGTTGTTTAACAATGAGCTTTGTGGGGAAGCCCCATTGGTAGCCAATTCCGTAGTTCTACAATGCTTTTGTAATAGTAAAAAGCTTCTTGCGGTTGAGAAGTGTGGCTTTAGATAGGTCTGCAAATAATTTTATATTCGCTTGGTCTGGTGGTAGTGATGCAGTGTTTCTTGCGGCTATCATAATTTTTTCTTTTACATGGTAGAAGTGGATGCGTGCCAGGATGTCCCTAGGTATTGCAGCCGATAGGAACGACGGTTTAGGTAACCTGTGTGCACGGTCTATAGCGAGTTCTACATCTGATAGGGAGGGGATGAGGTTTTTCATGTATGTTTTTAAGTATGGCACTATGGCATCTAAATTGATGGTTTCTGGGATTCCGCAGAATTTGATGTTATTCCGCCTTGAGCAGTCTTCTAGATCCGCTAGTCTGAGGTTAATCTGTTCTATGTCGGTGCCCTGGTCAGTGTATGCATCTATTAGGTCGTTATGAGCGGCGAACATTTCTTCCATTTTATTTTCAATATGGCGGATACGGTAGTTTTGTTGTACCGTGGATGAAATTTGCGATAGTGTTGTCGTCAGGTCATCATGTAAAGTTTGTCACAGTGAAAGAAGCATACTTTTCATAGACAGTTCAGTGATAGGTTGGTCTGAAGCAGGAAAATTTTCTATTAAGGATGGAGCAGATATAGCAGAATTAAGTGCAGAATAGAAAGGCTGAGAGACAGGAGGATTCTCTGTGTCCAGCCTAGGTCTGGACTTAGCAGGGCTGCTTGTGGTGGGAGACGGGCGGAGAGGACTCACCAGGGTCTCCAGGGTACAGGGTTGCTTTGAGCCTGGGGTCTGTGGTGTGCTCTGTTCCTGCTGTGTGGTCTCATGCTGTGAGGAGCCTGCGCCATCTTGGCTGCAGGGGCTGAGAGCTGGGAAAAAGCTCATCAGCTTTCCTGGGTTCCCTGGTGATCTGCGGCGTCTGGGCATTTCCCTGGTGATCCAGAGGACACCTGCGTCCCCTTATCAGTGCGGGGAGAGGTCTGTGAAGTCGCTGGGTCCGGTGAGTGCTGAGTTATGGCTGGCAAGGATACGGAGCTCTCTTCACAGAGCTGTCATCCCGGAGCCGGCCGCGCATGCGCCCTTTGTTTGCTTTTAACCCCCTGGCGCTGAGCATATGGAAATATGTGGCCTCACTGAGCTGGATTTTTTTCTCTGGGGACTCATATTTGCGTATCTGTGTTTGTACCGGCAGTGAGTTCCCAGCACAGAGACCGGGGTTTCATAGTAACAATCAGGACCTGAAACTCCCGATTTTGGGTCACCCGTTTGATGTGATAGCCTCAGATTGGCTATCACAGTGATCAGTCACTGTGAAGCCCGCCCCCGTGTTTTCTCTCTTTTATTGGAGGAGAGAGATACATTGCATCTCTTTCTCTCCTTGCAGAGAGAAAAAAAAAAAAAGACAACAGACAAAATATATATGACTAAAAAAAAATACCTAAGTCAAGGTTTGATCTAGGTCAGTATTTTTCTTTTTAAATGCGTTTTGGCTGAAGAAACAGTTGACACGTGTAAACACATGTTAATGCTAGGAACGTTTAGCGCTTGAGTGTTAATTCTTTTCAGCAGCCAGAATCAATTATTATTCTGGCCAATGAAATGAATTAACGCCCAAATGCTTGACACAGATAAAAGCGTTCCAACACATTTACAAGTATCAAACATTTTTTATGCCAAAATGCCACTGCCAAGAGGAAAGATGTCTAGGAGAGATAAAGAAATGTCCAGTGTGTGTGAGGTCTTATTCCTAAACCTCCCTCTCCTCTCCTAGAGGATGTCCTAGAATTGTTTCTTTTACCATAATCCCGTAGTGGGAAACAGCTCTCATTAGTCCTTACTAATGTAGACATGCCCCCAGAACTACATCTCCCTACAGACAGTGCATGGGAAGGTGAAGGCAGCAGCATCATTCTTCCAGTAAAGGAATCAATGTCTGCATGTGGAGAGACACAAATAGATTCCTCTTCTGTAGTTCAGCAGGCAGGGCTGACATCGCCAATTAGGATTTCAGTGCAGTAGAGTTGTGTTGTGTTGTCATGAGCTCACTGGATTTCTGGCAGGTCAGCTGGTATTTTTCTTTACTTGTAGCATTTTAAAATGGATAAAACATGATAAAATGTGCAGGTTTTGTAGAAATGTGTTGAGTGTTTTTTTATTTTGTAATTTTGCTCTGACATACACTTTAACAGATGTCCATTGTATAGATTTACCTCTGACAGCAAGGCCTCTAGAGAAGAAGGATCCATGATGCTGTAGATCTTCCACAAAGACTCACTCACATCCATCAGCTGTAAGATACACATGATAGATGATCATCATACACCAACTGCACACATCATAACACAGACTCAGTATGGAACATCACAGCCTTCTCCCTGCCATCGGGAAATGCGCTTCATGCAACGATCCCCCGGCGGTGAATAACATGCCACGACACTGCGCAACATCACTTCTTACCCAGGTGAACAAGGCCCCTACGGAGCAGGAGGCTGGGGACAGTAATCTTCCGTCTCCTCCATACACCAAAACTAAGTACCACAAGTGTCCATGTTGCCCCCACCCTCCTAGCATTTCCACAGGGCACAGGGACAAATAAACATGGGGGGGGGGGCAGGAGAGAAAGAGAGAGAAAAGGGAAAATGTATAAGAGGAAGACAAATGGCAGCCATCATTTATTAGAGACAAACAGAGAGACAAGCACCAGCTGACTGCACCGCACACAATGGACACCAGACACCGTTTACTATAATGTCTATTACAAAGATGACACACCTCGTGCTTCATAGTGAAGAAACTCCCGCCACCGATGCCCTCCAAGGCAAACGCCTGCACGATCGGCCATTTTTCAACAATGAACATGTCGAACATCTGCAGGTGACCTGCATAACAAAATTCAGCATTAGGATTTGTAAATCTGGCCATAGATGGATCTCTTTTTTGTCGATCTTGGATGGAGGAATCCTCCCCCGTGCTATTGTATTCTGACAGCGGGACTCCTTCGCTGCCAGAACACACTGATCAGCGCTGCAGCCAACTGCTGCAAGTTCTGATCGAGCAGAAATGTGTCAGCAGTCCTGTTCGGGAGGAGTTGTTCACTAGATCGACTCCTCTTGAATGGGAAAGGCCATAAGCTATAGCCAGCTTTAGTAACAAAGCAATTCCATTAGCACACTGTATGTCTCACCTTTGGGGCTCATGCACAGGCATGTACAATAACCTGCATTCACATCCCTGATTTATGTGGATCTGAACGCAGCAGTAATATAAACAATAGCCCGGTGGTTGTCAACGTTTGAGCTATGGGGGGCCTCAAATGCTCCATAGTGTCCTGAACTAGGAAAATTTGTGTTCACGGTCCGATTCTGACGACATGTTATGTTGAAAAAGTTTATTCTAGCATTTACATGCATACAGCTTAGGTGGTGCCGCCGCTGCTGCTACTGAATTCAGGGCCGACTTATCAACATCATCAAAATGTAGGTAGTGGTGGCAGAGTAGGCACAGAATGATCTCAGCATTCAGTCATTGTAAATGATTGAAGAACAAGGCCATTCTGCATCAGTGCCGCCGCTGCTGATGATGATGAAACGTTATTAGTATTTTCATCTCCTTCTGAATAAGAGCTCATTGACATGTGTCAGGGACTGCTGCTCCTCTTATTAAGTGAACCATGCTCAGATCGCTCTTCAGAGGTGTTTGACAGGCGGTGATGAGGCATTGTATCACCTCCCCAACTGCTTTAACCCCTTAGATCCCACACTAGCATGCCAAAACTGCATGCATTGCATGTGGTTGTGGGGCACTTGCAGAGTGGCACCATCCACTTAAATGGGTCACTGGGCGGTTGCACCCCCCAAAAGCGTCAGGGTGCATATTTTTTGCCACAGGAATTATGAGTAAGTGTAAGTTTATGCCCCAGATGTTCCCCCGAATGAAAGTGCGAGGGACAGGTATTATAACCATCATTCTATAACTAAGGACTTTTTCACAATTGCAAGGAGGTGTGGTGCCCTCTGAAGAGTGATCAGTGTTCGGATCACTTTTCAGAGGGCATTTGACAGACAGTGAGGAGGCGTTATATATTGCCTCCTTACTGCCTGATTTAACCTTAAATGCTGCACTTCCATGTCACAATCGTGTGCATTGCTGCGTGGCCCCACTGAACTCAATGGGCAAATTTGACAAGCAGTGCTGCTTGGCAAAATCTGTACCCAGAGTTAAAAATGCTATGGCCACCACGCAAAACATTGCAGCCAGAACATGTGTGCAGCCTTGTCCGGCTGCATTGTGTCTGTTCGGATGGGCAGCCAGCGAGGGTAAAACCACAGCTCAGCCGCCCGGTTTGACTGCCATCTCTGGCTGCCTGTCTGAAAGAGCCCTACACTACGCATCAAAATACTGCCATGTATTTTTTTTAGTCATTCTTTATTGCATCTTAGTGCTTCCAATCTCTTGCAGGCCCTTGGCATTCACTTCATGTCTATAACCAAGTAAGTATTTGACATTTTGCAGAGTAAAGTAGGGACTGGCCAGAGAGGAATCACTGATGCAGTTGGGCAGATTGAATATAAATTACAATGTATGCAAATCTGTCCCTGTTTTTATGCAAGTTTGTGCGAATACTATACAAGGGTGTATAGCAGTGTGCAGCAGAGGGATCATTCCCATTCTTCAGTCTGTTAAAAATGTGGCCACGCCTCTTTAGCACCTCATTTGAGATATCTCTCTCTATTTTATATACAGTCATGGCCGAAATTGTTGGCACCCTTGATATTTTTCCTGAAAATCAAGTATTTCACACAAAAAAGGTATTGCATTAACACATGTTTTGCTATACACATGTTTATTCCCTTTGTATGTATTGGAACAAATATAAAACAGAGGCAGAAAAGCAAATATGACATAATGTCACACAAAACCCCAAAAATGGGCTGGACAAAAGTATTGGCACCCTTAACTTAATATTTGGTTGCACACCCTTTGGAAAACATAACTGAAATCAGTCGCTTCCTATAACCATCAATAAGCTTCTGACACCTCTCACCCGGAATTTTGGACCACTCTTCCTTTGCAAACAGCTCCAGGTCTCTCTTATTGGAAGGACACCTTTTCCCAACAGCAATTTTAAGATCTCTCCACAGGTGTTCAATGGGATTTAGATCTGGGCTCATTGCTGGCCACTTCAGAACTCTCCAGCGCTTCTTTGCCATCCATTTCTGAGTGCTTTTTGACGTATGTTTGGGGTCATTGTCCTGCTGGAAGACCCAGGATCTTGGACGCAAACCCAGCTTTCTGACACTGGGCCCTACAGTGCGACCCAAAATCCTTTGGTAATCCTCAGATTTCATGATGCCTTGCACACAGTCAAGGCACCCAGTGCCAGAGGCAGCAAAACAACCCCAAAACATCATTGAACCTCCACCATATTTTACCGTAGGTACTGTGTTTTGTTCTTTGTAGGCCTCATTCCGTTTTCGGTAAACAGTAGAATGATGTGCTTTACCGAAAAGCTCTATCTTGGTCTCATCTGTCCACAAGACGTTTTCCCAGAAGGCTTTTGGCTTACTCAAGTACATTTTGGCAAACTGTAGTCTTGCTTTTTTATGTCTCTGTGTCAGCAGTGGGGTCCTCCTGGGTCTCCTGCCATAGCGTTTCATTTCATTTAAATGTCGACGGATAGTTCGCGCTGACACTGATGCTCCCTGAGCCTGCAGGACAGCTTGAATGTCTTTGGAACATGTTTGGGGCTGCTTATCCACCATCCGGACTATTCTGCGTTGCAATCTTTCATCAATTTTCCTCATCCGTCCACGACCAGGGAGATTAGCTACAGTGCCATGGGTTGCAAACTTCTTGATAATGTTGCGCACTGTGGACAAAGGCAAATCTAGTTCTCTGGAGATGGACTTGTAACCTTGAGATTGTTGATATTTTGCCACAATTTTGGTTCTCAGGTCCTCAGACAGTTCTCGTCTCCTCTTTCTGTTGTCCATGCTTAGTGTGGCACAGACAGACACACAATGCAAAGGTTAAGTGAACGTCTCTCCTTTTTATCTGCTTTCAGGTGTGATTTCTATATTGCCCACACCTGTTACTTGCCCCAGGTGAGTTTACAGGAGCATCACATGCTTGTAACATTCTTATTTATCCGCAGTTGTGAAAGGGTGCCAATACTTTTGTCCAGCCCATTTTTGGAGGTTTGTGTGACATTATGTCGAATTTGCTTTCTTTCCTCCCTTTTTTTGTTTTGTCCCAATACACACAAAGGGAATAAACATGTGTATAGCAAAACATGTGTTAATGCAATACGTTTCGTGAGAAATACATGATTTCCTGGAGAAATATCAAGGGTGCCAACAATTTCGGCCATGACTGTATATATAAATATATATATATATATATATATATATATATATATATATATACACACACATACACACACTATATTGCCAATATTGAGTTGGCCCCGCCCTTTGCAGCTATAACAGCTTCAACCCTTCTGGGAAGGCCGTCCACAAGGTTTAGGAGGGTGTCTATGGGAAGGTTTGACCATTCTTCCAGAAGCACATTTGTGAGGTCAGGCACTGATGTCGAGGGAGGAGGCCTGGCTCGCAGTCTCCGCTCTAATTCATCCCAAAGGTGTTGTATCGGGTTGATGTCAGGACTCTGTGCAGGCCAGTCAAGTTCCTCCACCCCAAACTCGCTCATCGATGTCTTTATGGACCTTGCTTTGTGCACTGGTGCGCAGTCATGTTGGAGCAGGAAGGGGCCATCCCCAAACTCTTCTCACAAAGTTGGGAGCATGAAATTGTTCAAAATGTCTTGGTATACTGACACCTAAAGAGTTCCCTTCACTGGAACTAGGGGGCCAAGCCCAACCCCTGAAAAGAAACTCCACACTATAATCCCCCCTCCACCAAACTTAACACTTAGCACAATGCAGTAAGGCAAGTACCATTCTCCTGGCAACCACCAAACCCAGACACGTCCACCGGATTGTCAGACAGAGAAGCGTGATTGGTCACTTCAGAGAACACGACTCCGCTGCTCTAGATTCCAGTGGCGGCGTGCTTTACACCACTGCATCCGACACTTTGCATTGCACTTGGTGATGTAAGGCTTGGATGCAGCTGCTCGGCCATGGAAACCCATTCCATGAAGCTCTCTATGCACTGTTGTTGTGCTAATCTGAAGGCCACATGAAGTTTGGAGTTCTTTAGCTATTGACTCTGCAGACAGTTGGTGACTTCTGTGCACTGTGCGCTTCAGTATGCGCTGACCTCACTCTGTCATTTTACGTGGCCTACCACTTGGTGGTTGAATTGCTGTTGTTCCCAGTTGCTTCCACTTTGTTATAATCCCACTAACAGTTGAGCGTGGAATCTTTAGTAGCCAGGAAATGTCATGGATGGATTTATTGAGCAGGTGGCAACCTATCACGGGACCACGCTTGGAGTCACTGAGCTCCTGAGAGCGACCCATTCTTTCACAAATTGTTTGTAGAAGCAGTCTGCATGCCTAGGTGATGATTTTATAAACCTGTGGCCATGAAGGTGATTGGAACACCTGAATCCAATGATTTGGAGGGCTGGCCCAATACCTTTTGGCAATATAGTGTATGTCTATATAGATCTATATCAGTGGGAGACGAATGTGGCCCGTTGCTTCCTTTTATCTGGCCCTAAGGCCATTATTCCCCCCACTGTCTCCAACAGTGAGGCATAGATCCTGCCACTGACAAAGATGCACTATCCCTCCCAATGACGCCAACGGTGGGGCACTATTCCTCCCACTGATACCAATGATGGGGCACTATTCCTCCCACTGACACCAATGATGGGGCACTATTCCTCCCACTGACACCAATGATGGGGCACTATTCCTCCCACTGACACCAATGATGGGGCACTATTCCTCCCACTGACACCTACGATGGGGCACTATTCCTCCCACTAACACCTACGATGGCGCACTATTCCTCCCACTGACACCAATGATGGGGCACTATTCCTCCCACTGACACCAATGATGGGGCACTATTCCTCCCACTGACACCAATGATGAGGCACTATTCCTCACCCTAATACCAATGATGGGGCACTATTCCTCCCACTGACACCAATGATGGGGCACTATTCCTCCCACTGACACCAATGATGGGGCACTATTCCTCACCCTAATACCAAAAAGGCTACACTCTTTACTCTAACTGGTCACAGTACAGCCCTCTGAAAGTTTGAAGAACAGAAAAAACTGTCCTTTTGTTTAGAAAGTCTGGAGACCTCTGATATATTTAAGCACAATTGAACAAGGATTACCTTGGGAGCTATATGGAATGCCAATGCGGCTGCAATCTCGCACCATGTTCACAAAGCTTGCAATCTTAAATTCTTCAGCAGCTTCTTCATCTTCATACTACAGAGGAATAGAGGAAAAAGGCTTAAACATGAACTCCAGACAGATAGAAGAGAAACAGATCAATGCAGATCTGTATTCAATAATACATCATAAAACAGTTTTGTTTTGTTTTTTAACATATAGTTTAATTACCAAAACATGACCTGGCATTAGCTTCTAGCAGTCCCTGTACAGCAGAGCTTATATTGAGAGAGAGAGAAGCAGCACTAGGAGCTAATTAATTATGCTCCCGTGCTCATGTGCTAACAAGTGACATCTGATAGGAGGAGAGAGCAGAGTGACAGAGAGATGAGCTCATCAGTCTGCTGCTTCTTCTTTCACTGTCCAATCAAAGCCTAGGGAAGGGATTGGGAGGGGTTAGAAACCTAGAAGTGTTAAAGGTCAAGTTCACCTTTGATAAAAAATACCCTGTGCAGTCAAGGGGCTTCAGTGCCATACCTGAAGACCCATTGCGACTTACCTGGCTGAAAAACTACTAATGGGAGAGATCTGCACCGTCCTGCCTGTGATCTTTGGGCACTCTGCATGTTGAGCACGCTGCCCACATCACTGGAGTGAGTGCCCACCCTTTATCATGACCCATGCATACACAGAGTTCCGCCTGTTGCCACAACAGCTGCACCAGGGGAGGGAGAGCACACACTGAGCATGTGCGAGACTTGAAAGAGGGTGGGATAATGTGCGCGCTGTGATGTGACCTACCTCGTTTTCGGTCATGCAGTGGAAGTGAAGGTTCCTCCAGCAGCCCACATAGGGTAGCAGGTAGGTGTAGTTCACAGGATTACAGTACAGGTGGACACTGTCGGCCTTTATGAAGATGATGACATCTACAAAGACATAAAATAAATATGATTTCTCGGTCTTCCAGGCAGGCTGAAGGGTGACAAGCCCTGACACAGAACTCACCATCCAGAACTTCTTCAGGGAAGCCGGTCCTTTCAAAGTCAGCATTTCTCTGGCTGTACAAGTCAAAGAGCAGATAATTGGCCAGTTCCCTGCACCCTTCATTGTACCGGCTGTCAATTCCTGGAAAACACAGACGTATCAAACACGGGATTTCTACACTACTCCAGAGACCTACCCAGTGATTACTACTACAACCATATCTGCTAAATGTAACCCTGGCTGGTGTCTGATAACAGGGAGCCATATAGGCAGGAGGGACATAATAATGAGGATCTGTCAGCTCTCAATAATAACCATGTGGCTAATTATACAGGAAATTAAAAAATAAAAACCATAAGGCCTTGTTTATATGTGTGCTTCCTGAAGAGCAATCCGCATTCCAGATCACTTTTCAGAGAACATTTGATAGGCAGTGAGGATGTTGTATCACCTCCTCACTGCCTGTTTTAACTCCTTGGGGTTGCAGGACACTCCATTTCAATAGGTCCGGTTCAGTGGGTGATACTGACCGCTCAACCTAGCGGCAGAGACAATTTTTGCTGAAAACCATCTGGAAAATAGAGGAGAGGACAATTGACCCCCCGACCCCCCCTTCAGTCTTGCTGACTCCTCTCCTGTACTGAAAATGCTTCCTTTGATATCACTGCACACTGTGAGCTTCTCACAATGTGCAATGAAAGCTGCAGCAAGTTAAGACTTTCTGACTGGAAGATGTCCAACATCATTTAGCGCTTTCCTCCCCAGCCTGACTGTCCCTGTCCTGCCCCTTTCTTTCATTGGTTCCAGTTATTCAAGCTGCAAGATTTTATTTAGCCCACTGATGTAAGGGGGATCTCTGAAGGGGACTCCAATGTATTGGAGGGTCTCTGAAGGGGACTCCAATGTATCGGAGGGTCTCTGAAGGGGAACCCGATGTAAAGGGGGGGAACTCAGATATAAAGGGGGGGGGGCCTCTGATGGGGACCCTGATGTAAGGGGAGGCTCTGATGGGGACCCTGATGTAAGGGGGATGGGGGGGGAAACTCTCATGGGGAACCTGATGTAAGGGGGAGGGGGACTGATGGGGACCGTGATGTAAGGGGGATGGGGGGGGGGACTCTGATGGGGAACCTGATGTAAGGGGGGCTCTTATGGGGACCCTGATGTAAGAGGGAGGGGGGGAACTCTAATGGGGAACCTGATGCAAGAAGGAGGGGGACTCTGATGGGGACCCTGATGTACGGAGCAGGGGAGAATACTCTGATGGGGACACTGATGTAAGGGAGGGGGTACTCTGATGGGGACCCTGATGTAAGGGAGGGGAGACTCTTGATGGGGACCCCGGTTTAAGGGGGAGCTCTGATGGAGACCCTGGTGTAAGAAAGGAGGGGGGGGGGCATTCTGATGGGGACCCTGATGTAAGAAAGATGGGGGACTCTGATGGGGCCCCCGGTTTCAGGTGCAGCTCTGATGGGGACCCTGATGTAAGGGGGGGTTCTGATGGGGACCCTGATGTAAGGGGGGGCTTTAATAGGGACCTTGATGTAAGGGGGAGGCTGTGATGGGGATCCTAATGTAAGGGGGGGCTCTGATGGAGACCCTGATATTATACTGATTATAAAAAAAAAAACCTCAATAAAAAATATAAGATGTGGCCCCATACTGAAAAGTTTGTAGACATCTGGCTGAAAGTGTGACCTCTGATCTCAACAGCGTAAAAATTAAAATGCTGGCAAAAAAAGAGAAGAATCCTTTACCAAGTATACAGAGGATGCCATCCGGAGCGGTCTTACTGGGTTTTCTGAGGATCCCTTGTACTTTTCTTAGACGGCTGCAGCTGATGAAAAAAACAGTAAAGATTATTAATACAGAAAGAATGAAGAAGTCACACAACACAAATCACCATTTACACTAACACGTTGTGGTAACACCCGCAACAGGCATTATGGTGCCATTCAGTCTGAATGCCACCCCAACGGACAAAGGCAATATTCCCATTGTACGACTTGCTGGGTAAAGCCTGCGGTATGGGGGTGCTGCTGCACACAACCAACTGGTTAACTGGTGTCAACATAGGAAGAAAGCATATATCACCCACATCGTGCATTGTACACCGAGGATCCATTTAATAGCCCAAAAATGTATTAAGGCGATCACATCACATTAGGGGGTTTACTTATAAAACATTCAATAGAGGAATGTCACATAATGTCATGCACGCTGTATCCAGTAGCCAAAATGCAGTATAGTTTTCTGGAATACCTCAACTGAGAAAATAGACTGTAATGTGGCCACTAGGTGGAGCTAACGAGCATAGAAATTACTCTATTAGAAAAATTACTGTGTATGAATGTGTTTGACATTTTGACATGTGGGTGATGTCATGATCTCCACCTTGTCCAATCGGAGAACATTTTGCAGTCATTGAGAAAGTGCAAAGTGTTCTCTAAATGACACCCATGCCGAGCGAGTGACTTTATGTATCCACAATGCAGCATGCCAGCCACTCGGCACAGGACCTGGAAGCTAGTGGCGATCACTGGAGTAGTGGTGTGTACTTCAGTGATTTCCAGCTTCCAGGGGCATCAGCCAGGTATGGTAAATACATAGTTACATTGGTATAAACTGGACCATTGTAACTATGTATAAAATATCCATACCTGGAATTTAGCTTTAAATACTATATACATGTGTGATCCAACATTCAGGAAATTCTGAACAACTCATTGAAAAGGGTGCAGTTCTTATACACTCTGTTATGTGATTGAGGCCCAAGGATGTCCATGATCTTCAATCCCAGCCCCAACCCCCATCATGTCCATGACCTTCAATCCCAGCCCCAACCCCCATCATGTCCATGATCTCCAATCCCGGCCCCAACCCCCATCATGTCCATGATCTCCAATCCCGGCCCCCAACCCCCATCATGTCCATGATCTCCAATCCCGGCCCCAACCCCCATCATGTCCATGATCTCCAATCCCCGCCCCAACCCCCATCATGTTCATAATCTCCAATCCCACCATAAGCCCAATCATGCCCATGATCTCCAATCCCAGCCACAGCCCCCTTCATGTCCATGATCTCCAATTCCGGCCCCAACCCCCATCATGTCCACGATCTCCAATCCCGGCCACAGCCCTCCATCATGTCCACGATCTGCAATCCCAGCCCCAACCCCCATCATGTCCATGATCTCCAATCCCGGCCCCAACCCCCATCATGTCCATGATCTCCAATCCCGGCCACAAACCTCCATCATGTCCATGATCTGCAATCCCGGCCACAACCACCATCATGTCCATGATCTCCAATCCCGGCCCCAACCCCCATCATGTCCATGATCTCCAATCCCGGCCACAACACTCCATCATGTCCATGATCTCCAATCCCGGCCCCAACACTCCATCATGTCCATGATCTCCAATCCCGGCCCCAACCCTCATCATGTCCATGATCTCCAATCCCGGCCCCCAACCCCCATCATGTCCATGATCTCCAATCCCGGCCACAACCCTCCATGTCCATGATCTGCAATCCCGGCCACAACCCCCATCATGTCCACGATCTGCAATCCCAGCCACAACCACCAGCATGTCCATGATCTCCAATCCCGGCCCTAACCCCCATCATGTCCATGATCTCCAATCCCGGCCCCAACCCCCATCATGTCCATGATCTCCAATCTTGGCCCCAACCCCCATCATGTCCATGATCTCCAATCCCGGCCACAACCCTCCATCATGTCCATGATCTCCAATCCCAGCCACAACCCTCCATCATGTCCATGATCTCCAATCCCGGCCACAACCCTCCATCATGTCCATGATCTCCAATCCTGGCCACAACCCTCCATGTCTATGATCTGCAATCCCGGCCACAACCCCCATTATGTCTATGATCTCCAATCCCGGCCACAACCCCCATCATACCTGCACAGTCAAGCAAAGATCAGGCTGGGTCTTGTTTTCACAGGGGACTATAATAGGGCTTCTAACTCTCAGAAATAATCTATACATCAAACATAAATTCCCAGTTTGTTGTAGCTGTGAAAACTCAAAAAAAAAATGTTCTCATGTATATTTATGTGTCAGTAGAAGTCATTCTTGGTTAGACAACTCGTATTTCAAGTTTAGGGTCACCACAGCTACTTGTGAAGGTGGTGCAACGGCTGAATGATTAATACACCTGACTGCTCATTATACACAAGTTCTCATTTGTCTGTATTAGAATTAGGATTGGTGAATGTTGAAGGAGTGTTGGGTATAAGGCTACATTCACAGGAGATTCTCGCCGGTGGTACTAAACACTGCCTGCGGCTGTTATTAGGCTTGTTCCGATATCGGTGCCGATACTAAGCATTTGCACGGGTACTTGTACTTGATCAAATGCTTCGATACCTAAAACCGATACCTTTGCTGCGCAATTTGAGCCCATACAAAATAAATGTGCTCAAATCGAACTACAAAAGAATCGTATGTGATTTGAATAGGAATGCGGTGCGATCACATACGGATTCCCTGTGGGTGCGGTGCAATTTGAGCCATTCATTTTGTATGGGCTCAAATCGCACCGCAAAGGTATCAGTAATCAGTACTGACGAGTACTTGGGCGCAAGTAACGGTATTTGCCGATAGAAAAAAAAAACGGTATCGGTGCAACCCTTGCTGTCAGATTTGTACTCTGCAAAACCAATGGACAGTGCAGCCACTGTTGGCATGTAACCACAGATTTGAGCACCTATGTCTAAGTCCCGGAGGGTGGGGCGAAATGCAACATAAGGGGGGGATTTGCTTACAAGAATGATCAGGAGAGCAGAATTCCATCTAACCACTACAAATAGCCTTTGGGAGCAGCATTTGAACACGCCAGCACTCTGTCTATCAGTGCGTCTGGGGAACTGATCACCCATCAGCTTGAGCGGCGCCATAACCCATGTTTACCAGGTTGCTTATTTGAGCACTGAAGCACTAATAGAGCCTCCAACTGACCAAGGGCACAGTGCAAGGGCAGCGTTTTTGCCGAGTTTTGGCCACAGTTCATCACCAGTGATGCAGCCATAGTTTTGCTGTATTTAGCCGCCTCTGAACACAGCAAACTATGCGCCCCAACCACTTGTGTGAACGCAGCCTAACACTGTTGATCCCAACATCCCAGCACCAGATCTAGTCACAAGTTTCATTCCTGTGTACTGAATGTTTTCTGTTTTTTTACTTTGTACCCAAAGTTTCATCTCAGAAGGGGACCCTAAACTGTGCCCCTTCCACAAAAGCGGACCTGGGAGAAAACTCATTGCCCTTTTCACACAGGTACTTTTGTTTTGTCTCAGCAGGGGCCCTGAACTGATCCCCAGCTGAGTTGGATCAGAACAGACATGAATGTTACATATATGATATCCATGTTTATTTCATTTTTCCTCCATCACAATGGGCCCAGTTAATCCTTATGAGTGGCCAGATGCAAAGAGATGTGTGTCCACCTATATCCGTCCATATCCACAAAAGCGGACCTGGGAGCAAACTTGTTGCCTCTTTCATGCAGCCACCAGCCACTTCTGATCCAACTCAGCTGGGGATCAGTTTAGGGTCACCTGCTGAGACAAAACAAAAGTACCTGTGTAAAAGGGGCAATAAGTTGTCTCCTAGGTCCGCTTTTGTGGATAGGGGTGGACACAGGTGGACACATATCTTTTTGCATCTGGGTGCCCATAGGGATTAACTGGGCCTGTTGTGATGGAGGAAAACTGAAAAATATGGATGTCTCACTTGTAACCTCCATGTCCTTTCTGAATCAACTCAGCTGGGAATCAGTTTAGGGTCCCCTGCTGAGACGAAACAGAACGAACATGGAGGTTACATATGTGACATCCATGTATATTTCATTTTTCCTCCATCGCAATGGGCCCAGTTAATCCTTATGAGCGGCCAGATGCAAAGAGATGTGTGTCCACCTATATCCATCCATATCCACAAAAGCGGACCTGGGAACAAACTTATTGCCTCTCTTTCATGCAGCCACCAGCCACTTCTGATCCAACTCAGCTGGGGATCAGTTTAGGGTCCCCTGCTGAGAAAAAAAAGAACGAACATGGAGGTTACATATGTGACATCCATGTTTATTGAATTTTTCCTCCGTCACAACAGACCCAGGTAAGTCCTATGGGCAGCCAGATGCAAACAGATGTGCATCCACCTATATTTGCCCACATCCACAAAAATGGACCAGGGCGCAAATTCATTGCATTTAGCCGAACAATCCTGAAAGGAGATGGATGTAAACAGGTGCATATCTGCTTATATCTGGCTGCCCATAGGGATACACTGCAGAAGATTTTGGATCCACCAAATCATAGGTCCAAACCCGATTGACAAGCCGCTGTGTGAAATGGACTGTAAGCACGGTTAGCACAGCTTGCAGGATCTGTGTTATGCATCCGAGCTCTATTTACAGAGTTTGTGTGTTCTAGCTTTGCTTGTATAGGGTTCCCCTGGGCGTTGCAATCTCCTTCGGAGATCCAGAAACAAACAGCTTCATCTATCATGACAGTCCTTAACATGTAAAATTATTCAGAGTGATCTGCACAGCACAGCACCTTCACAAAAATGTCTGCAATAAGAATATAAACCTAATCACTAAATCATCTTATAGAAGCTTTAAAGTGTTACTAAACCCACAGCAGTACAATCAGTCTGTATATGCAGTAAAACAAGCTTGCTATACTCACTGTGTAACCTAAGGGGTTAATCCTCCGTATGTGTAAAAAGGCTTTTTGATCCTGTCTTCTCTGATCCTCCCCTTAGTCTACTGTCCCTAGTCCATCTGCTGATAGTACAGAGCTC